AAGAGTTCACCTTGATTCTTCCTGACACAAAGGAAATAATCACATTTGGAGAACATGAATCACATTGGTAATGCCTGCAGTCTGGAGAAGTATTCAGTAGGAGAGAAACCTCAGGCTTTTCTCTATTGCAATAGCAATTATTTTTTGCTGATCTTTGAGAAGGATTCCAGAAACACAAAACATTCTTGACACTCATGAAGGAGACAGTTCAGGACCTAAAGCCAGGCTGCCTGATGCAGTTGGCAAGTTACCTAAGCTCCCTGTGTCACTGTTTTCTTATCTGTAAGACAGGATACTAATGATATTACTCCATCAGGGAAGTCCTGAGGATGCATTAGGATAATTCCTATAGGTAACATGTTCAGCATAAAACTTTCAGAAGTATAAGAACTACTTGTTAAAAATGAATAACTCATCTTTAGCTATCATCATCATTAGATTTGGGCTGTAATTTGGATGCTCTCATGAGCATTGTGTAAGGGTGGGCTGGGGGTAGGCGTTGAGACAGAACCACAATGTGGAGTGAAATGTGTGCTGTGTGACACAGTGCCAGCAAGGGCCATTTATATTTATTCCTAGCAGAATCACAAACAACCTTAGGGGTGGTGGTATACTGTGAAACTGCATGCATGAGAAGCAACATTGCACGTTTGCCAGTGTGGGTAGCACATGGCCTGGGTCACTGTGCTGACAGGTGCTCTCACCAGGAGCCACAGCCTGCAGCCTGCCTTGGCAATCCACTTGCATCCCCAAGCAGGGTTCACTCTAGGCATTTGCTCATTCTGATCGAAGCTAAGTTACAGAACTCTGGCTACAACAAGATTTGGCACATTGCCCAAAAGTCACTGCTTTTTAAAATGTTAAGAACTACAACTCTTTATGCTCTCAACTTAGAAATAATTCTGACAGTGAGTAATTAGCCCCCACTTCTTTGAGTGCTTCACACTGTACCACTGTAGTGTCTTACAAATCCTTCCCGACTCTGTAAGCACTGCTTGTTAAGGGCCAGGTGCGGGGATGTTACAGGTGAGCTACAGGTCTGGGTTCAGGGCAGGGTATTGCGTCTGGCAGGCCAAACCCCTAGAGATGTAGAGGCCATGCCAGGTAGTCAGACAGCCTGGGAGGATGGGAATCTGACTGGAACCCCCGGGGCAGGGGAGCACAGCAGGGTGGCAGGGGCATCCAGGAGGGCAGAAGGCCTGGCCAGTGCTCCTGCAGAGGGAGATTACGGAGGACACAGCATATTCAATCCAAATAACACCAGAGTTCAGAGTTAAGTTTGAAGATCAGAACAGAGGCAACCTGGAGGCCTTTGTAGGGCCAGAGGTGGGTCTCAGGGAGACCCCCGAAGGCCAGATGGCTGGGAACCAACCAAGCAGAAAGAAGCTGGGAGCACATGTCCTCAGACGCAGGCACCACATCCCCCAGTGCTGTCACTCAAGCACACAGCATTGTCACCTCCATGGCTGGCGTCTGCCCTATTTAAGTGTGTCCTGATGCTGCATCTGAAGTATAAATGAATGTAGCCTCTGTATGTGGTTGATAGTTGGGGGGGGGGGGCAAGGAGCATGGGGAGAGAGGTTAATTCCTTCTTAGCTAAACCAGGAGCAAAGAAGAAAAATTTGGAACCGGAACTAGATTTGAAGCTCAAGACTTTGCTTTCTATTCTCAACATTTTTGGAATGAAGTGGAGACATAAATAAATACATCCAAAATGAAGTTATATTGCTAGATAGTGACACTGGTGGTAATGATGTTTCAAAAAGATGATTATAATGCCACGAATTATGACAGTAACTACTATGTGCAGACACCCTTCACAATACCGTCTCATATAATCCTCTGGTGAGAGAGTGCTCTAAAGATTCCCATTTCACGGATGAGGAAACTGAGCCACAGAAAGGTTCATTTACCCAGTGTGGCAATGCCAGTCAGTCCTAGAGCTGAAATTTTCACCGAGGTCTCTGACATCTATGTACGTTTATTTTCCCTCCTATGGCTACCATGTAGGTCTTTGGTCCTTTGACCTCACTGTGACCCAGCTCCCTCAGGAAAACATTCCAGAAGCTAGTGAGAGGCTGTGAGTGGTGTGCAGAGCTCCCTGAAGTATGTCATGGACCTCATCCACTGTGCCCTCCTTGTGCTGGCCGTGTGGCCACAGCAGTCTGGCATGCTGGTCTTCATCTCTGTACTCTTTTTAACCATGGGAACACATGCTTATTTCTTTCTATGCAAGAAAGTGTACGATTGCAAATGCCCATGCTCAGAAGACAGAGGGGAAGGCCACTTCCATCTGAGAGGTAGACAGTATGTCTGACAGCTCAGACCTCTAGTAACAGTGGCCCCATCTCACACCCAGTGTTTCCAGTGATTTCTCAAATTGCTCCTGGGTGCCCACCTTGTTCTGCTGCTACATTTGGGAGCAATTGTCATGCATTTCCAGTTGCCAAGGCCATCAACTGTGCATTAGATGGGTCTTTGCAGTGATGGGTACGAGCCAGAGTTTGAAAGGGGTCTGACTCCAGTCATGCCCACTAACTGAACTCAGATTCCACTCCAGACAACTTGAAAGGGCTTGTTTTAATTTTGCCAACATAATAATTCAGTGCTTTCAGGTTTTTATTGTTCTCCAGCTTCTAAATTATAGTCAAAATCTTATGGTCAATTAGAAATAGAAGGAGCATGGTCCATGATGTTTGGTGTTTTTGTTTTACAGCTGGTTTGTGAATGTTCTTTTGATGTGCTAAGTATTGCTCATGAGGATTGAAGCTGTTGGAGAAGCAGTAATGTAACCTTTGGGTGGTTTCCGGACCCTAGGGCCAGGCCAGAGATCTGATGGTCCCTCAGTGGACTTGGGCAAGTTTCCCCTCAGTGGTCAAGTTAAGACCTCCAGCTGGACCAACTCTGATTAAGAAAAACGTTTGTAATGAGCACATTTTGAGTTTCTGGACACTTACAATCAACTCCTAGTTTCCTGAGGAGCCTACAGGAAAATCCCTATAGCTCTTTGCTTAGAATAATAATGAATTGCTATGGTGTAAGTGCTGTGATATATAAGTTCCCTTAGAAGGGAGAACAATGACCCTAGCAATTAAGCACCCTCAGGCCTCAAGGTACAGAGCACCTTTCTGAGTGTGGGAAAGTCACATTCTGGGAACAGCCTGTAGCATACTCAGTAGCACTGAGCAGGTTGGCATCGTTGGGAATGACATTTTCTAGGACAGATTTCTCAACCTCTGCACTATTGACATTTTGGGTCAGATAATCCTTGGTGTGGAGGCTGTCCTATGTATTAAAGGAATTTTGCAGCATCTCTGGCTTCTACCCACTAGATGCTGGTAGTATCCCTTACCCACCCGGTTGTGAGACTCAAGTCTTCTGGCATTACCACATGTCCCCAAGTAGTGCAAAATTGTCTGCCCTGTTACCGCCCGCCGCATTAGGAACCACTGCTTAGGAGAAATGTGAAAACGAAGAGAAGAATCCACTTACTGTTAAAAGAGAGTGACAAAAAGTCATTGTTAGTAGTAAGGAAGCTGCAGAAAGGGATTTTACAGACCTGCGTTTTAGAGCTGAGATAGGTGAAAATGAAGGAAGGAGAGAATTTTGTGGAATATTTTGCCTAACATAAGGGAGTTTTAAAAAACTCTACTTTATATAAAGTTCCAGTAATATGTATGGTGCCACTTCCTTTTTTTTTTCTTTCCTTAAAAAACCTGAAAGACACTACAGACACAGACACACAGACATATACACCCACAGCCCAAACCAACTCAGTCAGGAAACCAGACTGTTCTTCATACGGATTCCTCACTAAGGAAGTTGTATTTTGATGAGATGTAGCACACCAGGCTCTTTGGCCCTTGAGTGTTCTAATGCACCCACAAGTCTAGTCTAGTCATAGGACAAAAGAGTGTTTAACAAATACACTCTGACATCCTTTACTTAAAATCCCAGAAGTGCTAGCAGCTCAACTGTAGAATTCATGTCAAGTCTTCTAAGGAGCACTGGCTTCCTACACTTGCACCTTCTGCCCTTGAAAAAAATAGCTACTTACCTGTACATTCTGCATTTGAAGTTAATTTTACTGCTGTTTGTCCTATGTAGTAGAACAACATCTTTCTATTGGGTTGTGGAATCACTATGCCTGTTTCCATGAATATTTTGATTCGTGTTTTAGACCAGTACTGCCAAAAGAAATGCAAATCACATTTATGTAATTTTAATAATATATTTCATTTAACCCAATATATCCAAAATATTATAATTTGACTCATAATCAATATAAAATTGAGGTATTTTACAATCTTATATTAATTCTTCCATGCTGATATTTTTTTACACCTCAGCACATGTCAGTTTAGACAAGCCCCACTTCAAGTACTCAATGGCGACATATAGCTACTGGCTTCTCTATTGGAGTGCAGTTTGGACTCTGATGATTCCCAGAGTTCCACATAATTCTCCACTATAGAACGTCTATAAGTGGTACAGTGGGATATATTCTGCCCTAGAAAGCGTGAGTCACATGCCAGGACATTTGTCCAACTGGAAAATCAATGGCATTAGGCTCCAGTCCATCAACTACAACATTCTGCTCTTGTTTCCAGAAACAAATCATAGTGATACACATCAGACTGATTTGACTGGATTTTGTCTTTATCTCTGAAACAGATTGATATGGGGCTGTCCTTCCAGCAATGCAGTGACATCAGTAGAGGGTACCTCAAGGCATTTGGCCCCTTGCAGTACAAACTCCAGTAGGGAGCATTCTGGTCATGGTTGCATACTTCCAGATTGTGATAATTCACATTTTGTGACAAAATATTGGAATCAGAACTTTTCAGTTTATGAATACCAAGTTAATTTTGGAAAGGCAAGCTTTAGGAGTACAATATAAAAATAAGCCTTTCAAATACATCTTTAGCTGTTTCTTTGCTCACACAATCTCAACATGGCTGCTTTCTTAAGAGGTGTTATCCCTAATTTTGGCTTGACAGGGGTCCCTGGCTGACTGACCTCACTACTCTCCAGTCAACTGCATCTGTCTCCACACTCTCCAGATTCCTGTTTAGCTATCCAGACATCCTCTGTTCTTCTACTTCTTCTCAAGGTACTTCTATTTCTTCTCAAGAAATTGTGAGGGTAAAAAAGCATCTTATCGCTTGGGATCCAGAGAATCTAGAATGCAAACCACCCCACCCCTCCTCCTCACCCACTTTAAACTTAGGAGTGCCAAATGACAAATTTGCCAACTGGCTCTTTTCTCTGGCTCCTAGGAGGCTCGGAGCCAAACTGGCAGGAACCTAAGCACGAGGTCTAATGGCTTGGTTTTATAATCCTGCTCTCTGCTTGCTGAGCTTTTATTCCCTCTTCTAATTATTATATTGTTTGCTATTTGCTTATAAGCCACCCCAAATCAAATGGGGGGTATAGATATAATAGTCTCTTCCTGGTTTGTCCTGACAATTGTTCAGATATTGACTCAGATATTGAGAAATTATTCCATATAACAGAGGTTGACTGAGGCAAATCCTAACTGGTTTCCCCGTACATAGTGGTATGGATAAGTCACACCATGTAAGCTCCATAGAGGCAGGAATGTCTGTTATAGGAACTAACATACAGGAGAAATGGAAACAAAACCTACTTGTACTCAAGGGCCTAGAAATGTTATAAAGTACCTCAGTAAAAATGGGGTATATGTCCATTCTTGAAGTCAAATTGTATGACTCCATCTACCTGAACTGACATAGTGGTAGCATAGCTGATACTGGTAAAGTCACATCTGGGGGGTGACAAGTTCTTAAGATTTCACATTTTCAATGAAATCACAACCAGCAGCCTAAATTTATATCCCAGTCGCATTTTGTTTTATAGCCATAATCAAAGATTCCCTTCATGCCTAAGCTCCTCCAGTGGATTTAATCTTTTTTGAAAACATTTCATTCAGCTACAGATTTGCTTCTTCTCTGCAGGGTACTTGAGCACAAAAGAATGGCCTGTAGTTTAATAGCCATGTTGGCATCTTTTCACTCTTGCTTTAGCTCTGCTCAACGTGCAGGCATGTGCTGTGCCAACAACGATGGCAAGTTGACTGCAGAACCACAGGGCTAGCTGCAACTCCTAATCCCATTCGTTTTTTGGTGATGCTAGATTTATTTCACTTAACCAAGGTACTGGACAACTCTGTATTGCTGTGGTACAGGGAAGGGGGCTTTGGGGAGATGGGATAGGGAATGTATCAAACCTGGAACAAGGAGGCATCTGAAGGCAGTTTACTCTACAGACAAGATGGCACAATGCAGCTACTGAAAGTATCCCAGGTCACCAGGACAGGGCTCAACAGGCTTTGTGGTTAGGTTACCTACAGTAAAGAACAGTGACTCAGATCCAATTACTTGGCCCATCTCTTTTCAAAAGCATCCTTGAATATCCCAAGAGAAAAAGGGAGAATTCAGACTGGTATTTTAGAGTCAAGACATGTAGCTTAGGAAGCTTTGGTATCAACCGAAGCTCAGGTACTCAGTACCTAGAACTCATTCATGTCCCTAATTCCCAAGCTAGCCAGTATTGGCTAAGACCATTCTAAATTTTCTTGTAATGAAAAGTGCACATGTGGAAAGGCTACAGGGAAACCAAAGCTAGTGCTAACAGTGATGTGGCATAGAGGGCAACAGAATTTTCACACTCCCTTCTGCTACCATGTGGCACTAGAATGGATGGTCAAGAGATTGTGGGAAAAGTGCTGTACCACAGATGAGATTTAAAATGCAGCTGTTAGGAAGACACTGAGTATGTGTTGTCACCTCAAACATCCATAGAGAAATTTTATATCCTTGATGGGTGAGCCAACATACACCTTTTGGTCCTGTTTTTGATATTTATTGTGTATACAGGTCACTTATGTGACTTATACCCCAAAGTGATTTTGATGTTTTTGCCACTTTCAGAATCTTAGTAAAATCATTCAAGTGCTGAACTAAGGCTGTCTTCTCAGATTTCACTGGAAATAACGTTAAGATGCCAGAAAAGATGTTTTTAAAGTCATGTTTATTGAAGTATACTTTACATTCAGAGAAACTCACCCATCAATTTAACAAATCCAATTACTACCATAATCAAGATTTAGAACAGTTCCTTAAAATTCCCTCATGCCCTTTTGCAACCCAGCCCTCCCTGATCCCTAGGAATCCACTGATTTGTTTTGTTAGAAGGGTCAAGTTTAATCATTAAAATGTTTTAAGAAAAAACGTGTAGGAATATAAAACCAAATTTTTGAAAGGATACTTTGGATCATGAAACCTTTAGGACAGTCAAAAGAATGGGATTTACACATAACTTGTAAATTAAAGCACAATTGACAAACTACTTTTAGGATAGTTGTAGAATAGCTAGTCTTGTTACTGTGTCAAGCTTCAGGCTAGGGCTAGCTGATGGAAAAACTACTTTAAATAATGGAACTGAATTCTATGGAAATGAAATTTTCTATGGGGTAGATTTACATTCTTAGGGTATTTGTCACCTTAAAATTCACCCCTGCTACCACTATGAAAGGGACAGAGAAAGTAAAAACCTCTATTCTATGTGTGTCAATCATCACAACTTCAAATATACCTTATCTACTCGCAAAGCTTCTTTCAAACACAATTCTCTTTCAGGCACCAGCCCTGTAAAAGAAGTATCATAGTAGGTAATTAGATCAGCAGTTACTAAATAAGATGTGCTGTTAAGAAATAAATACCATTTCTAGACCATTGCAAAAGCTGTGCAGGAAAGTATACAGAATTCCCGAACATATTACACATTGTCAGCTCAGACATAGTAATGGTCTGACATAAAAATGAAAAAAAAAATTCAAAATCCCATCTTCACTAATGCTAACAATTCACTTCAACCTTCTCGAAGATAAACTCAAAATGGCCATAAATAGAAAAGATAAATATTTCAAAAGATTAGATATCACTTAAAAATTCATTTTTTTCTCTAAAATAACCGTTTTCTTGGCATAATAATGTATTACCTATTTACTAAAGGCTTTTTATTTAAAATATACTTTTTAATGGGGAGATGTGACTGCACTAAATAAATTCCTGCCTATCAACTTGGCCTCAGGTAAATCCTTTAACCCATCAGAGCAGAAGCATATCCAGTCAGATTAGAGTTCTCATCCTTGGCCAAGATTTCTCTTCATCTATGTAATAACTCGAGCCAATTTTCTCCATTTGGTTCATACCTTAAGTTCGTCAGCATCTTGAACTGGACTGAGCCTGGTCAAAAAGTTAGAAGAACAATGTTAATCACATGGTAAGTTTTAATACTTTTATTAAATAGAAAGTGTTATTGCAGCTATTAGCTACCTTTGAGGAAGAAGTCCTATAAAAGGTTACATGCTCCAAATTACCCACCACTTGGGAATCTCCTGTAATTTCCAGCCAGGAGTAAAATAAATAATGAATTAAGTTCCTATATACTCTGGGAATCCATTGACTGAAATGTCAGCTTTTCAACCTTATCTTTTTTACATTGACACAGAATAGTGTCAATTTTAGAAAAAAGAAACATTACTGGCAACAGTATCCACCTAGGAAAAACTGAAACAAAACTTTAACAGATTAAAAGCCAAATGAAGCCTGAATCTTGTTTACCCAAAGGCAGGAGGCAGAGCCAGCCAGTTGAGAGACTTCCTCAGCACTTGCTCAGTTTCCACAATCCTTAAATAGAACTGGCTCAAGCTGCTGCTCCGACATGCTGCCTGGCTGGCTCTGCTCATGTCTCTCTCTGGCATGCAATTGTTTATAACTCTTTGGCTCAGTATGAATCGCCAACACCTAAAGCTGCTGTAGAACAAAGCCTGACCATGTTCCTCTGTGGCAGGTGTTATTCACCAGGGATTGAGGTATTTGGGTAAGGAAAAATAGTCCATGTGCTTACTGCCCATATATATGGCTGAAAAAGATGTGCCTAGAACACAACCGGCAACACTACATTATTTGCACTTTTAAAAAGCCTGATGAAATTGATGTCCTGTTTGGCATCCAAATCAAAGGGTCTTTCACAACTCTGAGGCAGACATGTAGACCCCACAAGCCTCATATTTCAAAAGATTACTAAGTGGTACCTAACAATGTTTCCATCTTTCCTTCATTCATCTCTAGATTTAGACTTTTACAGATTTTACTAAGCTTGGAGAATAACCCTTTCTACAGCAATGTGTACCACTACACTTGAAATGCTCACTGATGCTTTAGAAGCAGAAATTTCGGAACGCTTCCTTGAGACAAACTTTCTCTAGGGCAGGTTTGCATGTTTCTCCGTCTTGATGGACACAAGTCAGAACCTCAGTGGTTCAGATTTTCTCCCAGGACAGAAAACCATAGCGACCCTGACTCCCTGAAAACGTGGGAAGAGGGTCCTATGTTGTATCACATACTGATTACTCCTGAAAAGGTGAATCTGGAGAAGAACATTGTAGGCTCCCTCGTTAAGGCTCACAGGACTTTTCGGTTCTCGCAAGACTCACCCTCAGACCTTTAAAAAAGCCCCAGCCACCGTGCAAAGTGGCAACTGAAAGGCATTTGCGGCGGAGGAGTAGCTGTGTGGGCGAAATTACCTCCATTTGTTGCTAACAGCGGACTTAAGACTGCTCTGCACGGAAACTTTAAAGCGTTTGGGATCCATGATCTCATTCACTTACTAAACTGGCTACGTCGGGATCATCAGAAGCACAGCGCAGGGGCGGAGAGACCGAATGCGCGAGAACCCGACACCGCCCCACGCCCGGCGCCTCCGCTCCGGGTCAGCTGGATTCTCGTAATCTTTTCATTGAAAAAGTAGCTTGAAGCTCCCTATGCCCGGATCCCTGGAGCGTCAGGGCCACAGGCACGAGAGGTACCAGACACGCCGGCCACTGGGGAAAGATGGGTCCCAGGCGCCACGAGGATGTCCCCCGTAAAGGAGCCTCCCCCCGGGGGGCGCCGAGCCGAGGCCAACCCCGGGTCCCGCCCGCCCACCTGGGACGGGCACGGGGACCAGGACGAGCGCGCCGGGGAAGAGCCACCGGAGGGACTCCAAGACACGTGGCCGGCTCCGGCGTCCAGCCTATCGTAAGCTA